GATTCAGAAAGCAGCGATGCGTATCATCTGCGATATCCGCGGACAGCTGTTTCGCTTAGAATCTTGATATCTGCAGCTAGCACCGACGCGTGTCAGTCATCAGTCCCAGCGAGAGGTCCGGGACAACTTCGTCCGCCCGGGATCGGCACTGCACGCTACCTCAGGCCTTCGATGGCTCGGGCGTGCACGCTTGGACGCACCCAGGTCACTGCACTTCGCGCATCTCTCCCCGCGATGCGCGATCAGCTTCGCGCCCTCGCGCCGTCGCGCTAGCCCTTCGGAGAGGAGGGCGGCCGCTCTGGCCAAGGCCGCGACGCGCGAAGCGCTGTTCTCTTCGCGCCCCAGCGGGTGACCTGACGCACACAATCGGATGGGGCAACAAGACTGCCAGGCCTGTGGCCGCGACCTGTTCCTCTCCTCATGCTCCTCCCCCTCCTCCTCCTTCTCCTCCATTGCCTCCCCTTTCGACGTACGTTCTTCATCCTTCTCCTGCCAGGTTCTTCCCCTCGCTACACAACATCCTCTACCTGAGCCCAGCGCATGCGCCAGGCCGTGCAGCGGGCCTCCTCCTCAGGGAGCCCCTTGGAGTCCAGGATGCGATCGGCGAGCGATTGTCCACTGAGCCTGAGGGCATCATGCATCAAGATGAGAGCAACGCCTACGGTCGGGAACTTTTGTTTAGCGTGTCGCGGCGGCGGCCCTGGCGACACGCTATGCCCTGCAAGCCGATAGCGTCTTGCTCCACTCCGGGTGGCGGAAGGCGGTGAAAAGCTCGACACATTGACGCTTGGGGACTTCGACGCGGTTAGCGAGTTAGGCCTGTGCGTGGTGGGCCATACGTAACAGGCAACGCGACGCGCTAAGCAAACGCTCCTGACCACAATCTGGAAACATGGCAAGTGGATAAGCACAAGCGCAACGTGCCCCCATTCTCCTCCGCTGGCTCTCGCCAAACAACGATGCTGCACCTGGGCCCGCATGAGCAACGTGTCCCTGGAAAGATCCCCGAAAGAGAAAGCTGGAGGGGGATTAAAAGGACGAGGAAGAAGAGGGGAAACAGGCGGACGAGCAACCAGAGGAATATGAGCATAGATGCTGCAAGCGACAAGTTGCTGAGCTCATGCCAGCGTCAACGTGCCAACGAGGAACACACGCGAGGGAGCAGCAGGAGGTGGAGGAGGGGGGGGAGGAGGAGGAGGGAAGGATGAGGAAGAAAAAGGAGGAGGAGGAGGAGGAGGCAGAGGGAGGAGGGGAGAGGAGGAGGAGAGGAGGAGGAGGAGGAGGAGGAGGAGGCATGGCGCCGTGGTCTCACGGTGGGAGAACGAGGGAGACGAGGGGGAGCGGGGGGGGGAGGCCAACCGCAGCCTGGAGAGACACAAGAGCCGCGAATCAGCTCGAGGGGGGGGAGGAGAGAGGAGGAGGAGGAGGAGGAGGAGGAGGAGGAGGAGGAGGAGGAGGAGGAGGAGGAGGAGGAGGAGGAGGAGGAGGAAGCCGCCACCGCCGCCCCGGGCTTCCTCAAAAATTATGTTGCGTGCTTATTTTGCATACTGCAGCTCCGAGGCCCTGGCTGGGCCTCCAGCTGCCATGACCTGGCCTGCCGACAGACATCGACAGACTGGCCGGCGTGGGCTTGCTCGAGGTAGTGGGCTGCCCAGCGCCGCAGCCGGTTCACACCGCCGTCACCGCTGTCGCCGGCGCCGCCAGCACCACCACCGACCGCCGACGCCGCCGGCACCGTCACCGCCGTTCTCGCCACCGCCGTCGTTGCCGGTGCCGTCGCCGCCGCCGCGGCCGCGGGCGTCACTGACGTCGGCTTGCATGAGGGGGGGCACCCAGGTTAGCGAAAAGCCGACTCGGGTGAGCTGGCCCGAAGGCGCTTCACCGTGAACCCACAGCTGCAGCCGAAGCCAAAGCTGAAGTGCACAGAGACATGCACAGACAAACAGGCGACGATCAACAACGGGTCTTGCGCGAGACGACATGGCGACCTTACGCGGTGGCTTGCGCGGGCAGCCAGCGCGGCACGCTACATCGGAGACCAGGGCGCTTACGCGCGAGCTTGCGCGGGAAGCTTACGCGCCAATGTCGGCGCAGACGACCTCGTTTTCTTCCGTCGCTCAAATGGAAAGGGCCCACCCTGCAGGTTTGAGTGACAGCACATCGTTGAGCGGTGCTGCAGCCTCCCCTGAGCACAGCACCCCCCCCCCCCGGAGCATCAGCCAGGCCCGTCCGACGTCGGCTTACCATGAAGGGAAGGGGTCCTGGACCAGGCGGGGGCTTCCCCTATGACACACTTTTCATCCCGAAGCGTTCTGCTGACGGTCCCTTGGCCTCTGGAGGGCCCAGGGAGAACGGTGAAACCTCCAAGACCCGTCTCCCTCGGAACCTATTCGCTGCATGGCCGATATCCAATGCGGGACGGGAAAATGACCACAGCCACTGCTTCTTGTTTGCGCCGCCTTCCAGCCGGCCGAAAAAGAAGCAGTGGTTCTGGTCCTTTCCATGGTGCCAAGCTCAACGAAAATGACCACAACCACTGCTTTGTTTCTGCGGTCTGGAAGGCGGCAACCAAAGAAAAGCAGTGGCTGTGGTCGTTTTCACGCCCCGTATCCGAACACCCTGAACCCTGAATCCAAACTTCTTGACGTCTCACTCCTACTTCCGCAGCCTCCCGCTGGCGGGCCAGCCGCCGCTCTACTTCCGCCGGCTCCCGCCACCCTTCTGCCGAAGGCAAGACGAGCGAAGGCGAGGTCGTCTATGGACACGCATCTCATGGCGCCCACCGGCTTCTGCCAGCCTTCCGCTGGCAAGGCCGCCCTCGCTGTCCCTCCGCCGCGCGGTGAGACGATCCAGGACCCGTTTCCCTCGGGACCAACCTGCTCCGTGGCGACCAGCCTCCGCTGGCCTCCAGCGCCTCATGGCGACCACTCGCTTGCCCTCAGTGCCTCCACCACCTGCTGATCCGGCTGTCAGGGGCTCCACCTCCTCCCCCTCCTCCTCCTCCTCCTCCTCCTCCTCCTCCTCCTCCTCCTCCTCCTCCTCCTCCTCCTCCTCCTCCCCCTCCCACTCCTCCTCCCCCTCCCCCCCTCATCTCCTCTCTCCTTCTCCTCCTCCTCCTCCTCCTCCTCCTCTCCTCCTCCTCCTCCCCAACGCTGCACCGGCCGGGGCGGGGGTGAGGGGGGGGGGGAGAATTGGGAAGGGGGGAGGAGGAGAGAAGGAGGAGGAGGAGGAGGAGGAGGAGGAGAAGAAAGAGAGAGAGAGAGAATGGCGTCGTGGCCTCGAGGCATACTCAATAATCAAAGTCATACTCACGTGCAAAACATAACACGATTAATCAGACAAAGAAGCATAGTACTAAGAAGATCCGAGGAGGGCCAGTTGCCACAACAGCGGCTCTCCCGCCCGACCCAAATCTGGTTGAAATCGGTCCCCAACCCCCCGCGAGGGTCCAAGCTGACCCGAATTTCGAGGCAGATCCAGCAGTGACGACGAGAAGCCTCCAGGAGGCAGTAAACGGACGTACGACGATGAATTCGGGCCGCCATTGAACATTGTCTCGACTGGCCTTCCTCCGCGAGGGAGGAGGAGGCGGAGGAGGAGGAGGAGCAGGAGGAGCAGGAGGAGGAGGAGGAGGAGGAGGAGGAGGAAAGGAGGAGAAGGGGGAGGAGGAGGGAGGAGGAGGAGGAGGAGGAGGAGGAGGAGGAGGAGGAGGAGAAGGAGGAGGAGCAGGAGGAGCAGGAGCAGGAGAAGGATGAGGAGGAGGAGGAGCAGGAGACGAGGAGGGGAGGAGGAGGAGGAGGAGGAGAGCAGGAGGAGCAGGAGGAGGAGGAGGAGGAGGAGGAGGAGGAGGGAGGAAGGAGGAGGAGGAGGAGGGGAGGAGGAGGAGCAGAGCAGGAGGAGGAGGAGGAGGAGGAGGAGGAGGAGGAGGAGGAGGAGGGCGGGAGCAGGAGCAGCAGCAGGAGGGGGAGGAGGAGGAGGAGGAGGAGGAGGAGGAGGAGGAGGAGGAGGAGGAGGAGGAGGAGGAGGAGAGGAGGAGGAGGAGGAGGAGGAGGAGGTTCACTACCCATAGAGGGAAAGAGGTCCAGGGGTGAGAGAGGAAAAACGGGGTGGGTCCGCCTATCCAAGGGGGCTTTTGTCAGGCCCCCCCAGAGGTTCCATCCCTCTGGCGGGGCCCCCGACAAGGCGACCCCACCCCCACACAGCGCTAGCCGAACTCTCCAGTTTCGGCTTCGCACTCTTCCCGGGATTTGCGAGCCTGGACCTCAGCGTGGGCCTGGACAGCCCTCAACCCGAGCTCCTCAGCTTCGGCCCGAGTCTCGAACCCGAACGCCTTCAAACAGGCTTCCATGCCGAGCCGAGGAGCGGCCCTTTGCTGCGAGAACGCTGGGAGCCTGCTGGGGGGCCGACCGGCCCCTTCCGCGTCAGCTCCAAAATGATCTCGCCAGCGTTCCCGAGTGGCTGTGGAAGGGACCTGGGACTCGTCCAGAGCCAGTCCCTCCTCCGTGGGGTGCATGCGCCCACGCAGCCGCTTGCGGACGGTGTACGCCGAGCCGCCACTGACCCGCCGAGGGCCAAGGCAGGGACTGCAAAGGCCCCGTTGTTTACGATGCACAGCGAACTTGTAGCACGTCGTGCAAAAAAGGATCGGCTCCTGCCCAGCGACACCTGCTTCTAGAACCGAGTGTTGGTTGACCAGCCATGGGCGCCTAGGCCCGAGACCGTAACCTTCATCATCCGCGTCTTCCACGCCACCGTTCTCCCTCTCAGCCTCCGCCACCACCACCCTGGCAGCAGCAGCAGCAGCAGCAGCAGCAGCAGGGAGCGGGTCAGCAGGAGGAGAGGGAAGAGGACCAGGGGCATGGCGTGGGGCCTCGGGAGCGGCGGGCAGGTCGACCAATAATCCTGGCGAGCCTGGCCGTGGCCTTGCACGCTTGCGACACTAGGTCCAAGCAGCCCTCGAGAAACAACACGTCGCTCTCAGACGAAGCCCCGAAGCTAGCGCCGAACTTTGCGTATTCATCTGCCGACCTATTTCCTTCCAGCTCGAAATGCGAGAGAATTCCCTCCCGCACCTGTACCATCGAGCAGTGGCTTCTCACGTGCTTAAACTCCAAGGCAGAGGAATCTTCTCTTCCGTGCACTCTCCGCCACAAGTGGGCGCGAGGGTTCGCAACCGACGTCGCTGTGCGCGGGCAGGTGCAGCACGATAGCGTTGCCCTACAATCTGCTAACACACAGAATTTGCCCAACACGTGCTGGGCGACCATATACATTGCATAATCTTCTCTGTCTCGTGCAGAAAATGTGGGCGGAAACTCTGGTGGCACTACACCATAGATAGCTCCCAGGAACACCCGTTCCGCAGAGAAAAAGACACAAGACCATCCCGTGGTGCGGAGAGTCGGGAATCTGGCATTGAGACCAGACCCATCTGTGAAGACGAACCCTCCATCCAGACGGATCGGCAGCTCGACGCCTGTCCCGCGCAGGGCCCAGAGGGGGTCAAAAACGGGCCTTGAAACGCACAGCCCTGGCTCAGGGAAGATGCCTCTAGCGAATCGTTCGCTCCAGGCTGGAGGGGCGCATGCAACCACGGCCGCAGCCTTGGCAAGCTCTGGTGAGATATTGTCCCGCCTCCAGGCTTCATGGCCAGGGCAGCGGTAACACCTATGATGCAGGGAGCCACGCTCCTCCTGGCAGAGCAAACAAATGTGGGAAACCGTCGCGTCTTGGTCGTGCAACCTCCCCTGCGACCAGTGAGTGCCTGCCACCAGGCCCTGGAGAGAAGACTGCTGATGCTTCTCCCAACCGGGCTTCCAATCACAGAACATCGCCTCGAGAATCGGCCGCCAGAAGATCGGGGACGACCAGCACCCCCTGTCCTGCAGAGCGAGCGCCCTAACGTCCGAAGCTCGCCTGGCCGAGTGCGCAATCTGGTCCGACACGCAAGCAGGGGAATAAAATTGCAAATCCCACTCCCGCCCCAGGTCGTCAACCGCGCGCGTCGGACTCCGAAAACTCCATCCCACACGCTGCGCCGTGAGCACGAGCGCAGCCACGGGGTCCCTACAGGACACCCATGGGCGTTCCTTCGCCGCTTGCTCAACGGCGTTTTCGAAAAGACACTGGAGGACGGCCGTTGGGAGGAGGCCATCCCAAAGCACCTCTCCGTACTGCCTTACAGAATCCATCGACGTGATCACCAACGGTTCTCGCTTCCAGCCGCGCTTTGCACAGCTTAGGAAGAGGCCCGTCGACGCTCCGCGAGGAAGCCTGCCTTCCGCCTGCGCCGCTAACACACGAAGCTGGTGCAGACGCGAATCGGCAAGCCCATGCACACAAGATCCCCAAAGCGCGACCGCAGACGGGCCGGCGCGATGCACTTGAAAAATCGTCGCGCCCTCTCTCTGAAGGGCGCGCAGGCGAAGAGCCCTGCGCTGGGCCGAAAGATATCTATCCAGGTGAACGGGCACTCACCTGAACCTGCCGTCCGTGGCGTCCCCACCCAAATCTCGGTGAGATTGCGAAGGATCCTTCAGCTCCAGTGGCCAGCCCTTGCACAACTGCTCTGCGAGCCCGCTGGAACTAGCAAGAAACCCAGCCTTGCCCCAAGAAATCGGCAAGTCCATGGCCGTGACTCCGTCAACGACCCGGTTAAAAGCTACAGGAAGCTGCTTCGCCACAGTGTCGCGTCCCCCCACCGCGTGGAAGGAGACATCATCGATCACATTTTTGAGCACCACTATCGGTGCCGCAACTGCCGCTTGCTTCAGGAGCGCCAACAACATTAGCTTGGCGAGCGATGTGGCACACGAACAACCCGCAATCACGGTTCCGTTGGCCTCGAAGGGCCTGCTCGTGCAGCCGTGCAGGACGGCGCGGCGGGGAGCCCGATAAACGCAGCACAATGCCCGGAGAGGAGGAGGAGGAGGAGGAGGAGGAGGAGGAGGAGGAGGAGGAGGAGGAGGAGGAGGGGTAGCAGGAGCAGGAGCAGGAGGAAGAGGAGGATGAAAGAGCAGGAATGGCGCCGTGGCCTCGGAGGAAGCGGAGTGGAGGGGGGGAGGATAAGGACGAGGAGGAGGAGGAGGAGGAGGAGGAGGAGGAGGAGGAGGAGCAGGGAGGACTGCGAGCAAGAGGGCGAGAAATGGGATAGGGGGCGACGAGTGGCGCTCCCGAAAGGGGGGGGGGGGGCGCGACCCTTGGCGAGGGGCCTCTCCATCACGAAGAAGCGCAGGGGCTCCGCCGCCGCGGCCTCGGCCGGCAGCTCCAGCCCGAGGCCGGCGGCCTCCTCGGCGGCGGGCGCGCTCGCACGCGCAGCTCGCGCGAGCGCGCAGCGCCCGCGCGGCGGGCGAGGCGGGCGAGGCCGCCGCGTCCTGGGGGCGAGAAGGGCGAGGAGGAAAACGAGCAGGAATAGTGACAGCACAGCGAGGAGGGGGAGGAGGAGGGGGAGGAGGGGAAGGGGGAGGGGGAGGGGGAGGGGGAGGGGGACGAGGAGGAGGAGGAGGAGGAGGAGGAGGAGGAGGAGGAGGAGGAGGAGGGAGGGGCGAGAAGGAAGAAGGAAAGGCATTCTACGAAGACAGGTCAATTTCGTAAAACTGCTCACAAGACGCATAGTCATAAGATCCATGAAGGATGACAGTCAACGGTTGAGCATTGTAGCAACACGAACAAGAATGATAACAACAAGTGGAGCCAGAGGATGACTAGTGTACACCCAAAGCACAACAACGATGTTGCAATAAACCCTCCCTCAAAATTCCCTCTTCACAGGACCCTGCAATAATGCATTTTTTCAATAAGGGACGTGCCCCTTTGGAAGGCAACCGTCTGAAATCCTCAATCGTGCCACAAACCAAATCCTGGGACTTCAACGCCGCGAATCAACGTGTCTGTTGCGACCTGGCAGTCTTGAGCAGTGCCAGAAAATCATTCCTGGGCCTCCAACACCGCGAATCAAAGCGGCTGTTGCGTCCCGCCAGTCCTAAATCGCGCCAGCACACCACTCCTTGGACCCCAACCATGCGAGTCCTAGAAGACGTTGTAACCTTTACAACGAATGCGCGCGGAGCAACGGCTACAACCACATTTTGAGAAGGACCCACCCTCCGTCCTTGAAACTGTTGCCAATTTTTACAACGCATGCGCGCGGTGCTACGGCGACAACCACATATTAAAAACGACCTGCCCTCCATACGTAAAACTGCCGCAATTTTAAAGCTTCAGAATCAAATTCGGTGTGAAGTCTCAGGCGATACGCCCAGCCCGCCAGACCAACACGTCTCGGGGTGCGACAGGGTGGAGGAGAAGGAAGAGGAATGGGGAGACGAGTAGGAAGAGGACGAGGAGGGATGACGGGAGGGCCCCTGAATCCTCAAGTGGCCAAGGAGTGGGGAAACCTACAGGTACATTTACTCCCCAGACCTCTCCCTGTCGTGTGTTCTGACCAGGAGTTCGAAACGAGCCCAGCCATGGCGACGAGGGCCTCCCAGAAGGCCAAGAAGAAGCGAAACCGATTGAAGGCTAGCGGCATGGGTACGTTAAGTTCCTTTGATCTAGGAAGTCATCGACGCAGCCCGGGCTGGAGTCCTCGCCCGTGCTGTCGAAGCAGCCCACGACCTCCATCACGTGAGGGTGGGCCTCGCCAGCCTGCAGCACCCGGTCGAAGGCCTCCCGCTCCTTAGCGGCGATCTCCGCGGTCGGGGGCGGGCGCTCTCCGCGGCGCTCTCCGCGAAGATGGCAGAGACGAGACGACCCTCCTCCTCATCCTCCTCAACTCCCCCCTCCCCCCTCCCCCTTCCGTTTTCATGCACGCTCCTCGCGCAGATCCGTAGGGTTAGGGTCCAAAAACACAAAAGATGTGCAACATTTCTGAAATTCGGTGGCACCCCGCACGCAGATCCGTAGCTCATTTACAAAATTCGGTGGCACCCCTCACGCAGATCCGCAGGGTCACGACGTCTTACCAACCGCCAGGTGTGGTAACCCCTCTGGTGATCAAGTGGTCTTGCTCATTACGAGTCGGCCTCGCATGAAGCTCCGATACTGCCTCGCGACAGCGCCCAGGCCTCATGGCACAGCTCTTGCATAGCGCACTCTCCGAGAGAGGGGGCCGGCGGCGGGGGGCGAAGCCCTTACGCATTATCGTCGGGGCGTTGACCTAAGGAACTCTAAATAAGGAACGAGGCCCCTTTCTCCCACAAGTTGAACTTCGATTCACCATGAAAAACCTCCGGAACACCGGAGGCAAACTGCAGCACAATCAAGGAACACCGAGCCCCTCCCCAACGAAAAGGGTTCCTTCTTCAGCGCCCCTCACCCTCCCCAACGAAAAGGGTTCCTTCTTCACGACAGCGCCCGGGCCTCATGGCACAGCTCTTGCATAGCACATTCTCCGAGAGAGGGGGCCGGCGGCGGGGGGCAAAGCCCTTACGGATCATCACCTTCGCGCCCCCGCTCGTCACAGCCGGGCCACCCGGCCACGCGAAGCCTCCTCCTCCTCCTCCTTCTCCTTCTCCTCCTCCTCCTTCTCCTCCTCCTCCTCCTGGCCCGTGCCAGCGCCCACGCTCTGCACCTACCACGCGGGGGGATGGGAAGCCAGGTCGCCTCCCTTGGCGCCCCGCGCCCCGCGAGGCGCATCGTCGCGCCCTCGCGCCCCCGCCCCGCCCCCGTCGCAGGAGGGCAGCCGCTCTCTGGGCAGCCACGTCGAGGAACCGACCAGCGGCGCCGAGCACGGCGGGTCCCTGTGGCAGCTGGCTTCGGACACCACGTGGATAGGGGGCCACATGCGAACCCTACCCCTACCCCCCACGATTTCTGAGGGGGAGGGTGGGGTTCATTTCATTCGGGAGCTCCCGAACGAAGTGAACCCCACCCCACCCCTCAGAAATCGTGGGGGGCAGGGGTAGGGTTCGCATGTGGCCCCCTAGTGGATCGCTCAGCCCGGTGCGGCAGCTTCTCAGTGGCGCAGCTCGTTCCGTCCTGGTCGGCTCTGGGCCCCTGGCGGCGCTCCGCCTGGAGCGCCCGCGGCGGCGTCGCCGCCGCGTCGACACGACGCGAGCCTGCCGTGCAGGGCAAAGGGGAGGCAGAAATCACCCGCTGGCGAAACGACGCCAGGAATGGGACACAATCGCAACGGGACAAGCCAGGGATCCCTGAGATCCGGCGCGTTCATAAAGAAAAACGGCATCAACATGAACTGTTGGCGCTCGGCGCGGATTTCCTTGATCTGCGCTGGACCCCCCTCCCTGGCGCGCGGAGCGCGCCAGGGGCGGCGCCAGAGGCGCCGCTGGCGGGGCCCAGCGCGGACCCAAGAAATCCGCGCGGAGCGCCAAAAGTTTACGTATATATGCTTTTTTGTTCTTCCTCGAGCTCGGGGCCAAGGCCTCCGCGCGCAGCGTGAGGCCGGCGCCTGGCCAGGCCAGCCGAGGCCGTGCCGCACGTGGGGTCCCGCCCGAGGCGGGCCCGCGGAGGCTGCGCGGCGCCGACCCGAGCAGGCCTCGGAGCCGCCCCCCGAAGGCCGGCGGGCGACCCGCCCGGGCACGGCGGGCGAGCAAGCCGAGGGCTCGCGGGCCGCCAGCCCTCGGCGGCGAGCGAGGGGGGGAAGCGAGAGCGATCGGGCCGGGCAAAAGGGGGGATAGCAAAGGGGGGGGGTGAGAATCAGCTCACGTAGCTGATTTTCCCGGCGCCTCCCGGCGCCGGAGGGAGCTATGCATCGAGGGAGGGGCCCCTCGGTGAGGCCGACAGCAGCTGCGTGCAGCAGATTTCGTAACCCCCCTTTCCCAATCCCACCCTTTCGTCCGGCCCGAAAGGAGAATCGGCAACACGCAGGAGTGCCCCTAGGCAAGAGTGACCTCTGGTGCGCGGCTCCTCGGGTGCCGCCGGGGGACCAGACACCAGCGCGCAAGACGCTGCTGCCGCGTTGCACTCGGCGATCGGGGGACCCCAGTGGGCCCGCACCAAAGGTCACTCTGGCGAAGGGTGGCTCTTACGTGCAGTCGAGGGAAGGCCTTCTCATAAGGTTCGGAAGTCCCACGGCCTTCTGATAAGGTTTTTAAGCCCTGAAGACAGCAAGAAATTTCTCAGACGGCGCGGGGACTTCTGAGGAGTCCCGCCGCCTTCTGAGAAGGCCTTTTCCTCCTCAGTTCCCCCCCTCCCTCGCCGCCGAAACCCGCTCTGGCGGGCGACGTGCCCGAGAACTGGCGCGGTGACCAGGCCCAAGAAGTGCGCACCGTGAGGGCATCGGATACGGGCCCCCCGGATGAGGAATCCAGGCTCTGGAAGCAGGTGGAACGCCGTAATTTCAACTTAGCCTTGGCTATGGAGATCACCGCCGCCCTTCTCATGTAAGGAATCGTCCGGGGTCTGTGGCCTCCCGGGCACATTCCTTAACGAACGCCCCGGCCGCAATTCTTTCTTTCCCTCCCTCCAGACCGCCCAAGTACGCGAACCACGCCCCGCGGTGCACGCCCCGCGGTCATCTCCGCGCCCTCCGCGAGGCCACCCCAGAGAAGGGCAGCATCCAGGCCCTGATCTTCGAGGATATTCGAACATGTCAAGCGGGCTGACGCCTTGAATACCCCAGCATGGAATAACAAAGCAGGACCTCGGCTCTGTTCTTTTCGTGTCTATGGTGAGGAATTGTTGCTTAGCGTGTCGCGGCGGCGGCCCCAGCGACACGCTACGCACTGCGAGATGATAGCGCGTCGCTTCGCACCGCGGATCGGGTGCCTCGGAAAAGCTAGGGTGCCTCGGAAAAGCTAGGGGCACGGACGCTTGGGGACCTGATGCTGATCGCATGCCGCGCCGAATCGCCATGGGCCACAACCAGCGGCGCGACGCGCGAGGCAAAAGTTCCTGCTTGTAGCGAATACGAAAGGAGCTCGGTTCAAGAAGCCCCCACGGGGCCCGAAGAGCCTCCCACGCGCCCCCAAGAGATCTCCAAGAGGCCCCAGAGAGGCATCCCAAGAGACCCTCGGATGATCCGGGGGGCTCCTGACCCACGGTGTGTCACTTCCACGATCGCCTCAAGCACCCGCTCCTCGTGGGGGATCGGCGGAATGGCGTAAGCCACTGGGAGAAGACATGACGACCTGACCGAGGTCCTACGGCAGGTTCGTTCGTGTCGTGCCGACTCCAGCGTTGGTTTTTGACACCGCAGGGATCGTTCAACCTTGAACGATCGGCCGCTGCCGCAACGTCCGATCGTTCAACATCGATCGATTCTGGGTCGCCGGCGGCGTTCAACCTTGAACGCCCGCGCTGGGGTCGCCGCCGGTCGACACGACGCAAATCTACCGTAAGCCACTGGGAGAAGACATGACGACATGACCGAGGCCCTACTCTTTTGAGAGCCCCGGCGCGCGATCACGAGGAGGAGGAGGCGGAGGAGGAGGCGGAGGAGGAGGCGGAGGCGGAGGAGGAGGAGGAGGAGGAGGAGGGGGAGGAGGAGGCGGAGGAGGAGGAGGAGGAGGAGGAGGAGGACGACATGACCGAGGTCCTACTCTTTTGAGGGCCCCGGCGCGCGATCACCTCCGCGCCCCACGTCAGTGGCCACGGCCTCCCGCCGTGCACTGCCGGCCCGGCCGCGGCGCGGAGCGGGGGCCCCCGCCTCCTGCGCCCGCTGCCCGGCGCGAGCCGCGACCGCTGCAGCCGCAGCGCGCTGCCGCTGGAAGGCGCCGCGCCCTCTTCAGGGAGGCCGCGGCGCCGAGCGAGCCGCCCCCTGTGAGATCCGACGCTGCGGCACGAACGTGCAACGTCGCGGGAAATCATGGCTGGAAGCCTGGACCCTGTCTGTCTGCGGCACGTCTCGAGCCGCATCGAGGCGGGACGGTCCCGGGGCAAACGCTTCTCCACCGCAGCGCGGCAGCACGCGCGCTCCGCGAGCCGGGAGACAGCACTCATAATTGCGTTTCACATGCAAGAGGGGAAGATCCATGGGCAAACACGCACACTGTTCAGCGTCCCTCTAACGGGGACTCCACTGACGGGCACTTTGGCCAGCGACCCGACGAACCCAACGCTCCCCGACGTGGGCAACGCTGCAATGCCAGAAAGAGGCCCATAAGTGGCAACTTTCGGCAAATCTCCAAAGTACCCGTTTGTGAGTACCCGTCACGGTGCCGCTGAACTGTGAGCAAATCGCAACGCCCGGATCTCACGGCACCCGACCGCTCGCCGCCCCGGCCCCAGAAGTGCTCTCACGGCCCGCCACCGAGCCATGTGGCTGCGCAGCTTCGCGCCCGCTGCCCACCGCCGCGGCCCGCCACCGCCGCCCGAGGGCCCCGGCCGCCGCGCGGCGACGCGAGGCGGCAGCTTCCAGCGGCCGCGCGCACGTGCCCGCCGCGGGCTGCGCCCAGCTGCGCGCGCGCCCGCGGCTCGGCCGGCGTGAGCAAGCTCCGAATGTGACCACCATCGCCAAAATGAGGATCTCGAACCTGGGGTCGTGGGTCTGAAGCAGATGGGTCCGCGGGAAAAGTTGCAAACGGACTTGCCGAAAACGGTGCCTGAATGCAATAGTCCGCGCGGTGGATGCACGAAATGCGCGTGGACGCACGTTGTGTAGCTGTTTTCACTGGCAATAAACGTTGGTCGCGCAGTAGTTCATGCCCCTCCGCAACAGTACGTACTAGTGCACACAATAATACACGATTAAGAAACGATCGCACCTCATACCATTGACCCATCTGCACCAGACCCACTACTTCCATGTAGAGGATCATCTTGCATTGGAGGAGGCCGAGACAAAATGATCGTTGAGTCTTGCTCTGGGCCTCCGAAGGGCGGCTCCGACGGCGCGCTCGTCGAAAACGCAGCGCCCCCTAGATCGCGGCCTCCGCGGCCTCGCGCGCCTGCTGCGCTTCGTCCGCGACCGCATCCACGGCGGCCTCCTGAGGTGGCGACAGACGAACCTAACCCCTGAGCTCCTCCTCCTCCTCCTCCTCCTCCTCCTCCTCCTCCTCCTCCTCCTTCCTCCCCCTCTTTTTCCACGGGTTCGGATTTCCCGCCGATTCCTGGGCCAGCTCGCGGGCGCGGCGGCCGAACGCAGAGGGCGGCTTGGGCGCGCTCAGGAAGGCCAGGACGTGCGCCACGACCCTGGGAAGAGAGCAGACGCGACACGGCCAGACCCCATTGCGTCGCCAAGAAGACGCGACGGGAGGTCTTTCGCTATCCTCTCGGCCTCCGGGGGCCCTGACCAGGCCTCGGGGCTGTCCCAGAGCGACTCGGGACGAAAAGCTGGCCCCTGGAAGTGGGTACAGACCTCTGGGGGTCAACGTCATGCAATCATCGAGACGTCGGGGCTCCGGATCAAACATCTGGGAGAGAGCGCGCCCGTGGTATACTCTCAAAGGCGGGGGCCCCCCTCCAGCTACCCCCCCCTTGGACCTCCCCTGCCGGACGCCCCCCCCCCTCCCGTCCCTCCTGCTTCCCGCCCGTCGAAAGCGACACCCTCCCCTTGCGCGCTCCAGAAGCTCCCCTTCCCCCTCCATTTCCAAAAGGAGGGGGGGCGGCTTAGCTACACCCCCCCCCCCTCCTTTGCTGTGCCCCTTGGAAGCTACCCCCCCTTTCGCGCCCCGGAAGCGACCTCCCCCCTCCCCCCCTTTCCAAAAGGGGGGGGGGTTGGGCATCCCCCCCCCCTTTGAACCTCCCTTTCCGGAAGCCTTCCCCTCTCCCCCCCTTTTTGGCTAAAGGGGGGGGTGGGGGCTTGGAAGCCCCCACCCTGAAGGAAGGAGCGACGAAGACAAAAAGGGCGCCGAAAACCAGCAGAGCGCCGAAAACCAAAGGGCCACCGAAAAACCGATAGGGCGCGAAAGCCAGAGTCGCGCCGAAAATCGAAGGACTGCCGAAAACCAGAAGGCGCCGAAAACTAGAAGGTGCGCCGAAAACCAGATGGGCGCCGAAAACCAAAGGAGCGCCGAAAAACAAAGGATCGCCGAAAATCAAAGGGGCGCCGAAAACCAAAAGGTTGCCGACAACCAAAAGGGAGCCGAATACCAAAGAAGC